ACTAAAATAAGCTGGCAACTCTAGATTGTTGTGAATAAACCTACTCAATCAGGTATGGTTTAATTTTTTTTAAAATTTGGTGCAACTGGCTGGTCAAAGTTGACTTTAATCGGACGTCCCAGGGTTCAAAAAATCTGAATCTACCCTCTGTGCTCTGATAGAAAACTTGCAAGCCAAGTAGCAGCTGCAGGTGTTTGTATTCAAGCCTTGGCATGCAATAAAGAGTTGGAATTGAGGTGTGTGTGACTTAAAGCTGCTTGTAGAGTTTTTCCTTTAAGATGTGCAGTCTGCATCCTTCAGCTCTTTCCAGTAGACCAAAACAACAATCTCCACCAAATCTGATTTAGCTGGATTGAAGTTTTTATACATTTTTAGTTGCCAAAGTTTTCCCCAAAATATGTTAAATGTTGTCCACAAATGTAATTTGGCAAATTAAATCAACCTTACAAATACATTTGTTTATGGTCTTTTCTGTTGAGCAAATTCACAAATGTTCTGATTTAATTGAGCAGAGCTTTTGTTATTTCTGTCGAACTGAAAGGACAAGTTTGCCTTGAATGGCTTTTGGAAAAGTGGCCATTTACAGAAGAGAATAGATGATAATGAGGCCTCTTCAGAACAAAACACAGGACCAAACTGCTAACTAGTGAACTGAAAACAAAATAAAGGGTTAAAGCACAAGGTGTAAAGGAAGGCTTTGTGTGCTGGAACAGACTGTTGATGTCGCTGTTAGCGCTCTCTGTGCTTTTAAATAGGCTACATTGCTCCAGTTTTCACAGCGCATACTGTTAATTCATGAAGTCTAAACTGCAGTTAAAATGTAAATGTGCTATTTTAGTAACTTACGAGTAGTTTATGAGTAGTGTGTGTAAATTTGAAGAAATTCTTAGAGTTTTGTCATTTACATAAGGTTAAAAAAATCAGGAAAACAACAACAACTGTTGAAATAAGTCAAAGTGTAAACTGTGATGTAACTGTGAAGCATCCTTGACTGTTTTCTGGTCTTGTTGGTGCACAAACCTGTTTTGTTGTCTCTGATGGATTTTCCTGTGTGATGTTTAAGGTCAAAAATGGTCTCTGAAGCTTAGAAAGGAAGCTTGTGGTCAAAAATACCACAGAGAAGTGCCTTGAGCAACTCCAGGCCCAATAAAGTTAACGCTGTTTCAAACTGTATGAGTGGGTGGAGTTTGGTGAAATTCAGGCTCTTGCTTTGTGGGGGGTTGCCAGTTGGGGGGAAGGTGAGGCATCAAGCTGCCTTTACCTTTGTTTAGAGACACAGAGGGGGCTCTGTCCCCTCACAATGGAACTGAGAGATCAGTGTGTGTCCTCTGTGTGCGCGTCTGTGTGGGAGGGGTTGTGCTTGCAGCCACACCCAGGCTGATTGGCCGAGGCCCCACCTCGCTGTGGAATCCGCTGGGGCTGGGTCACATGCCAGCCTGAAACACACCACCATGGCCTTAGAGCCTCTGTTTGCCCTCATAGGCTGAAAAAAAAAAAACAGGAGAACATCAAGTGATGATGTAATTGTTACTGTCCTGTGTGGCAGAGGGCGAATGTGTCCGATTCTCAGCACACTTCAACAAGTTACGTGTCAGAAAAATATTTGAATTCTGAAGAATTCGGTGGCGTAATGCTTAAAATACCGACGCTCACTGCATTCGATAATGTAAAATATTTTCTCTGCTATGCTGACATAACGTATGATGGATTGTTTTAGGTTATGTGCTGGTGAGTGTGCTCTCCAGCGTTGTCATTAAGTCCTGCTGGCAGTTTAACTTGTTAATTATTTACCAGACTGAGAGAAACTTCTCCTCACTGTGAAAACAACCACAACAATGCTGTTAGTACTTAATTATTTTGCTTAAATAATATATCAAACCTTTTATTTTGACATTTTTGCCCTGCTTCTTCTGATATTACTTCATATCTCTCCTGCTGCTACCAGCTGTTATCTTTTCTTATTTAGATTGGCTTCACTGGGCTTTACATAGACAGCTAACCCTGCGCTGTGCAGCACACAGCATTGCGTTTCCCATTAAACAGCTGGGCGTGCGGCAGGGTCGCCGCTGCAGACAGGAAGTCGAGAACTTGTTTATCTATTTCAGCATTTCTCGCACCGTGAGAATTTTACATAAAGAAGCGCAACTGGAATAATCTTGCTATCACTTCCCGTTTCTGTTCTTTTTAATGCGTGGGTTTTCAGTGTTTCGATGGTGGATTTTCACACTAGGAAAGCACACGCACGTCAAGCCTTTTTAGCTGGTGTTTTTAATACGTCTTTTGAAAGAATGCTGGTGGTTTCTGTTGATGATGTTTGTGTTAGCTATGGGACTTTTCTGTCAGCTGTCTGTGCTGACTCTTGCTCAGATGTGAACAAAAAATATGAAAGAGATGGGTTTGAATTTCACCCTGATATTGATCGGTTGTTTTCAGTCACCGGCTGGGTTTACATTAAGGTTAACCAGAAGTTGATGTGCTGATCTCACAAAGTCACATTCTGTTTAAAACCACAAAACTATAAAACAAACTTCTCAAACGTCACCTTTAACCACATACCTGTCAGCATGAGCTGAACTCGAAGAGGAAGAAAAGGAAGTGCGGTAGATTGCTTGATGTACTTCTTTTACAACTTTCGTTTATATAAATATTTGGTCATGACCTGGTGGCTGTGTATTAATAGAAGGATAAAGACAGACACTGAAATATGCCAGTCACATTGTTAGGCACACCTTATTAGAACTGGGTTGGAGATTTTCCTCAGAGAATTTGATCCTTGTTGCTGCACAATCACAAGCTGCACATCCAGGATGTGAATCTCAGGCTCCACCACATCCCAAAGGTGCTCTGTTGGCTTGAGATGTGTTACTGTAGAGGTCATTTGAGTGCATTGAACTCGGTGGTCAACAAACCAGTTTGAGCGATCTGAACTTTGTCACATCGTATGTTATCCCACTGGAAGCAGCCATCAGAAGATGGGTACACTGGGTTATAGGCTGTGCCATTTAAGTGATGCCCAGTTGGTGCTAATGGGTCAAAGTGTGCCCCACACCATTACACCACACCATCCTGAACCACTGATACAGTGCAGGTTGGATTTATACTTTCATTTTGCAGCAGAAATGTAAACTCATCATCATTTTTACGATGTCCAGTTTTGGTGAGCCTCAGTTTCCTGGTCTTAGTTGACAGGAGCGGCATCTGGTGTGGTCTTCCGCTGCTTCAGAGATGCTCTTCTGCATACCTTGGTTGTAATGGTTGTTACTTAAGTTACTTTTGCCTTCTTAGGGGCTTGAAGGAGTCTGGCCATTCTCCTCTGACCTCTGACAACAACTAGGCATTTTTAACCCTGAGATTTGCCTCTTGCAGGATGTATTTTTGAGAATTATAGGCACACCTAATAAAGTTGCAGATAAATGTGCATTAGTTTAAATTTCCTGCATCCTAAACTTTCTCCTTTTGAAGAATATATATAGAGTTAAACAAAGAATATGACATTTATGGTGCCTTAGATGAACTAATTAATTAACTGTTTAAAAATGTTGTTATTTTTCAAGTCAAAAATTATGTCTTAAACCCTTTTCTAATGTGGTAAATGCTGTTTTATATGTAATTGTATTTTTTTTTCCTTCATGTTATGTTACACTGCGTTGACTACTAGACTCAACGCAGTTGGTTCTTGCCGTTATATTATTTTAGTTTCACTGGCTGCCCAAACCTACTGAAACCTGTTTAAAATGACTGTAAACATATTGTAGGTATTACTGACCTCAGCTCGCTTTGATTTATTCTTATCTGGCTCGTGACGGACAGGAGGGGAAAAAAGTTCTTGTTTTACTGTTTTTGTTTCACTGTCCTTTATGTACAGTCATCATATCAAAAGTAAGACACATTTCAAAATATGACTGTCTCTAAACCTCTTAAAAAATGTAGGTCAAATTATGCTAGATTCCACATCTGTGGACATTTTTGGTACTGCTTGCCAAACTATTTTCAAGTTGGTGGAGAGTTTTATCTGTAGGGACTTGCATAATTCTTAGATAGAGCTCAGAAACTGTCTAAGAAAGGGAAAAAAGGGGAGAAAATTGAGACCAAAAAGAAGAGAAAGGGGTGTGCACATTTCTAAAAGTGTGTGTGTGTGTGTGTGTGTGTGTGTGTGTGTGTGTGTGTGTGTGTGTGTGTGTGTGTCCCTCTGCCTTGGCACTCTTCAGCTCGCTCTCTCTCTCTTTCTCTCAGTGTGTGTGTTTGTCTCTCGCTCAGCTTCCAGAAAAGGGTGTGTCTGCCTGCCTGCTGCTGAAAGGGAGGGAGGGGTCAGTTCACGGCTACTCCTCCCTGCTCTCGCTGTTATTTCTCTTTCGTTCTCATTCCCTCACTGGCAGCCTGAGGATTAGGCCTTTGTCTCTCTGCCTCCTCTGTCTCTGTCTTTGCCTTTAATTTTCCATCTCTTTCAGACAGAGTGTGAGTTTGTGTGTGTGTGTGTTTTTGTGTTTTTACCCCCTCTTCTGGCAGATTTTTTTGAGAGGAGGTTATCTTTAGCAGACTTTCAGAGTAGAGGTAATGCTTGTAGTCATGACCTTTTCCCTCCAAACTCTACTAACCCATTTCCTGTCTTACTTCCTGTCCTACCTGGCACTTTTCTCCTCTTCATTCTTTCTCTTATGCTCTCTTGTTTTCTGCTTTCTTGCTTACTGCTTTTTCTCCTCTCCTGCCCACTTTACTCCTCATACCTTCCTCATACCCTTTAACACAACCCCCTCTCCCTTCACCCCCTCTCCCTGGCCAGGAAGTTTGGACTTTTTTTTTCTTACCTTCTTCTCACCCCTCCTCCTCCTCTCTTGTTCTTCTCAATTTCTCCCCACCCCCATTTCATCCCCTTAACGACTCCCTTATCACCTCTTCTCCCCCCTTTCCTGTCTTTGCCGACCTTCTGTACTCCTCTTTTTGTGACCAAACTCACCTTCCTCCTTTTAATGCCATCTATTGTACTTCTTCTTCTTACTCAGTGTCAGTCAACTCCAAAGCAGAAGAAGAGTGCGGTCAGTGCCCGGAAGAGGCTGAGGAGCCCGGCCAAGCAGAGCTCCTTGACCCAGCAAGAACTGCCACCTTCTTCATCACCTCTGCCGCCCACAGTCCAGGAAGAGGAGGAGAAGAAAGAAGAGCCCGCGACCAGGCCACGGCCAACGCAGGGAGAAGAGGAGGAGCTGAAGGAAGTGGCGACACAGTCTGTGAGGGTGAAAGAGGAAGAAAAGAAAGCAGAGGAGGAGGGCGAGAAAGACATGCCCTCTGTACAGATCAAACCAGAGCCAGAGGAGATGGAGTGCACGGTGAGGAGGGGGAGACGGGGGGTTCGGTGGAAGCGATTGGTTGATTGATTGGAGGGAATGGGGTTAAAGAGGCAGAACGCTAGATGTGTGGCTAGATGGATGGAGGTGAGGAAAATGGGCGTGTGCAGGTGGGGCTGGGAGTCGGTTCTGCGATGATCAAATGTGTTTGATTATGTCGATTTCACAACAAAAACACACACACACACACCGCGGTCAAATCACACAGACAGCAAAGGTTACTTCAGTTACTTACCTAGCTTAAAAAGAAAGCTTTAAATCATGTCACGCGTAATGAACAGAGTATCAGTTTGTGCAATATTGACACAAACTTCTCAAATACCGCCTTAAAAAATGTATCAAAATTCACGTTTTCCCAGTACTCGAGAATCGGCAGCAGACAAGGAAGCAATATGCATACCAGAGCAATCAGCTGGATCTCTCAGATGTCAGCTTCCCGCCTGAGTATTACAAAGTGATTACAAAGAATTTGAGAAGCAGGCAGATAACATGACTAGGCACTTTTTTACTCTATTTAATTACATATCCTTCCACTTATGCAGATTACGTTAGATTACGATCCGGTGCCCTCTCGCTGGTCTAGGCTGTAAAGTGGAAAATGAACCTACTGGTGCTCCCTCAGAGATCCACCTAAACCAGCGCTGCTCACCTCTTCTGTCTGTGCATCATGATTGGTGGTTTAGCAGCTTGATGGCGCTATTTTAATTCAGTACAGCGTTCAACAGATTTTGAGGTTTGCAACTTTTACTCTGAAAGCCCCGGACCTTAAAGAAAAAGACTCGTTTATCAGAGATTGCATCTTATTTTGATAGTTTTGCACATGCTTCCTGTCTGTAACAGTGATCCCTGTTTTAATTGCAAAATGTGACACCGTGACGTCATTTAAGTATCAGAACAAAGTGAGCCGATAATCACAGGTCGTGCTGTTTAGGAGGGAAACATTTTTCCCCCCGGGCGACATCAATCACAGTTAACCACTCCCTGTTCCCTGTGCGGTGTGTGCACGTACCAATTTTACCTGTGCCAGTGGTATTACAGTGATGCTGGCTTACTTTCAGTTTCAGTTTTCAAAGAAAGGAGTTTATATAATTTTTCTGTTTCCTTGTTTGTTTCTCTAGAAAGAAGAGACACATTTGTTTTTCTGTTTTTTTTTGTTTTTTGTTTTTTTTTAAATCTAATTTATGGTTGAGTTTTAGTAGAACTGCAAATCAAGACCTGATCTGACATAAACTGGCAATCATTGTGTCTTCATTAGAGCAAAAAGGACACAGTTATCCTTCTGCACTGGATTCCCTGGGATATTTCCTGGTAGTGGTTTCTGTCAAGCTAAGGCCTGACAATAATCGTCTTGATTAGGATTCGTGGATGCAAAAACATCGTGTCTATAATAAAGTCCGTGCTGGCAGGAATTTCGATTTTCCTCTGAGCATTATACCGCATACGCCTTGCATTATACCGCATACAAGGCACGAGCACGGATTTTTGAAATAACTGTAAATTTACTTTAGGGTTAATTTATGTTATTTCAAGCTTGATATTATGATAATGTAGCTGTTGGCTGGTGCATCAGCTTCACAAATCCAGAAAAACGTCCTTTTCATTTGTATGCGTTCACCTGAGCAAATAGATCGTGTACAGGTTGTGCAGTTTAGCAGGAATGTGTGCTCTTTGTGATTGAAAACTTGCACCTGTTTGCCTGTGACAGCAGGCTGTTAGGCTACGTCCACACGTACACGGGTATTTTTGAAAACTGAGATTTTCCGTTTTCGTTTTAAAAAATAATCCCGTCCACATGTAAACGCAGAAATGAAGGAAAACGCTGCTAGGAACATGCCAAAGCAACAGGTGACGATATATTCCTAACCGTGTAGAAATGTTGGCCAATCAGAAGTCTAGAAGCCTCGGTGTGAAATAGTAAACAAAGCTGGGGCATAGAAGCAGAACCGAGTCATATGTGTGGAGGGACAGTAACTGTGTGTATATGTAAGCATTTAAACACTGCAGAGAGGACAATTAACAGTAACAGTATTGTAGAAATGTAAAAATAGGGTGAACACGTTTGCCCAAACCTTATTTAAAAAGAGATCATGTTGCGATTGGATCATGCCAGCTGTCACCCACACATCCTAGCCATTGAGTCAACAGTTCAGCAGTCATTGCTGCATTATTTAAGAAGAAAACTATGAGCACCTGTGTGTGTGTTTGATTTTTATCTCTGTGTCAGACCTGTACCTCTTTTATGAATTCATCTCTTTTCATTTTGTTATTATTGCTACTATTTTGTTTTAAAATGGGAGTAAACTGCCTGTTTTGTGCTTTTTGATAAAAAATTAGTAATTGTTTCACATGTTTCAAACAAGCTTTGTCAAAAACAGCAGGGTTTGAGTTAAAGCAGCATTACATCAGAGTCAGAATAAGCTTTATTGGATTCTGATCAAGGAATTGGGTTCTTTTGGGTTTTTTCTGTGCTCTCAATGTACCTAACAGATACACACACGGACAATAACAGCATGTATAGTGTATTTATAGGTGCAATGATGCAGTAGTGCACAGTGCTAAGCGTTTCACAGCATGACGTCTGTTCAGTTTCTCAGGCCACACTAGCCCGGATAGATTTGAAAACTGCGTTTTCGTCTGGAAACGCTCCGCGTCCACACTAGCGTTTTCAGTCGTTTTCACAGAGTTGTGCGTCCACATTGAAACGGCCCAAAATGCTTATGTTCCAGTCCTGCGCATGCGCAAAAGCGAGTGGGAATTAAAGAATTTTAAGAAAAGCTATCTGGAGCATGTACAAACTGATAATAATCTTTTTTAGAGCTGTGAAAATTGAGAGAAATCAAAACAACTGCTTAATTTTTCACGTGACTGCATCACATGACTAAAATGCGTCATCGTTTCAAACGCATCGTTTTTCCTTGAGGAAAATGCCGTCTCAGTGTGGACGGGAAGCCAAAACGGAGAAAGCCTCAGTTATCCAGGACTTCCTTTAAGGGTCATGAAGACAAAGAATCCGTCCCTTGACTGGTAGTAAGCTTAACGACTCACAGACCATTGGGTGGGTCAACAACTCTCAGGACTACATCCACAGCCTGAACCCCCACTAGGAGTTAAATACCTGGTGCTCCCCCCATCACCTTTTAGAACTGAAAAAGCACCGCAGATGTGAGATAGGAAACATTTCCTTAACCTAAGAAGTCCAGCTGCCTTCAGTTGAAGCACTTAAGACTTCACTGCGTGACGGGATGAGTTGACGATATAGAGGCGAAGGGAATGAGGGACGTGTAAGAGAACAAATTTGATGCAGGAGTGAGCAGAGAGATGTTTGCGGGATGGGTGAGGTTGAACTGAGCAAGCGTGGTGGTTAATTTTAGGAAGTATGAGGAGGAGGAAGAGTTTGGTATACCGGTAGTTGTGAGGTTGTTTTAGTTTTCGTGAAATACTAGATGATATCTTGATGCAGTGTTCAGCTATGGTGGTGACCGAGGTGTGGCCTTTCATGTTCTACTACTCTGAAGTCTGGTTGAGGTGCAGCTGAAGGGCGTGTGCGTGGTTGGTGCATTGTTGTGTAGCGCAGCGGTCTCCAACCTTTTTTGCGCCACGGACCGGTTTTTGCCCGACAGTATTTTCACAGACCGGCCTTTAAGGTGTCGCGGATAAATACAACAACATAAAACTAGTACCGGTACTGAAAAAAAGAAAATTTATTCATAACACACGTGAAAAGACCAAGGAAAACTGAGTAAACGATAAAAACGATAACAAAATAACGCTGAAAACCGAGAAAAACCCTGAAAACTACACATTTCACACGTGAGCCTCAACTCTTGCGGCCCGGTACCAAATGACTCACGGACCGGTACCGGTCCGAGGCCCGGGGGTTGGGGACCTCTGGTGTAGCGTATCCCTGTGCATGACCTCCACGGTCAGACAAAAATTGCCAAGTGGGTCCGATGGCAGAATTTACGTCCCTATTGGAGTCACAGAAAATTAAAAACTGCCAAAAACTGTAAAGAAAAATTGGTTATTTTGGTTATTATTTCAGATTAAGATTTGACAAATGGTGGTCGACTCCACTTCCAGGCCAGTGGAAGTGGAGCCTCTCGGGGGAAAAACACGGCTTCTCGCAAAGGTTACAGTGAAGCTTTCCGCTTGGTTGACGTGATGGTGGAAGATTAGGCATGGTCTGACATTAGTGGGTAAAGTTTAATGGATGGGTAGAGTTGTAGGAAGTCATTAAACACACTTTGTAAACAAACATTTATTTGCTCTCATGTGGAAAAAGTCTGTTAAGGTTGTTAAGGTTTTGCACTTCAAGCAGCAAATTTCACCTTTTTTAATCCTGAGTGGCTTTTCAGGGAGCGCATCAGCAGAATGAGCTCCTCAAGTGAAAAATGAGGAACGCTTCACGAATTTGAGGAGGTCAGAGGTCGCAGCCAAGCCAAGTTTTACATGACAAGAGCCTGTGGGATACATACTGACGAAAGTCCTGCTGGAGTTACCCGTGAATTCCCCAGCGGATTTCATTCTCAGGATCAGACTATTTATGTCTGAGCATTTACTAATAAATTAAGCAGCATATATCTGCATCTTCTGTCCTTCTGATTGATGCAGAGGAGTTTGTCTTTTTCTGGTCTTTGCTCAGAAATACACACCAATAGAGATTTTCCCATAGACTGGGAACCAAGAAACTGAGCTGCATTTTGTGCATTTTGTCACATCTTAACTCGTCTCTGTCTTTTTAATATTATTTTAGGCTCATCTATGTATTTACAGCTTACAGTTGTTCAGGATGGATGGGTGGATACTTTATTCATCCCCTGGAGGAAATTCACCAATTCCAGCAGTATCCACAAACATTTTAGACATAAAATAAATACTAATAAATATTGTAAACATTGTAAAGATTATGAAAATTTGGATTCTGAAAGTAAACAAATCAAAGTTATTTTATGGCATTTCCTTTCAAGAAAAGATTTTATATC